GACAGCATTAAGATAAGCGACAAATTGTTAAACTGGACATACTCGCAACTAGAAGGCTTTGGAAAACAATGATAAAATCAAATAATGTCAAACATTAGTGTAAATACTTGTTTATAAGCTTTATTGTGTCATTAATTTAAAGAAAAATGTTCTCCCATGAAGAAAAGTGTGATATGTTAGAATGCTATTTAGTGTGCAGAAAATCCTCCTTGAGAGCAAGAGAATACTACAGTGAATTATATCCCGCTCGCATTCAACCGTATGAACGATATTTTCTGAGACTTTATCGAAAATTTAGGGGCAACGAAAATGTTTTTGCTAAAACAAAGGCAAAAAAAGAATTCATAATAAGCGAGGCCACGGAAATTGCAGTTATTGGATATTTTGAAGCTTATCGTGAGAATTCAATAGCAGATATTCTCAAGGACTCTAATTTCAGTTATGGTACTGTTCAAAGGATTTTAAAAAAATACAAATTTATTCCGTATAAGTACCGACCAGTTCAAACGCTTTTGGCAGGGGATCCAGAGAGAAGACTTGTTTTTTGCCATTGGTATCTTAGCTTCTGTCGCCAAAATGTAAATAACTTTCGTTACCTTTTATGGACAGATGAATCAAATTTTTCAAATTCTGGAATGTTTAGTAGAAAAAACCACCATTATTGGTCAAGAGAAAATCTTTTGTTAGTACATCCAAGAGGCCCACAAGTCCGTTTCAGTTTCAACGTTTGGTGCGGTATAATTGGTTCAAAAATTGTTGGCCCGTTCTTTTATGAGGGAACCCTAACTGGTGAAAGATATGTGGAATTTATGTCAGAAATTCTGACTAATTTCTTAGACGAATTGGATCTTATAAGTAGACATCATCTGCATTTTCAGCAAGATGGCGCACCTGCCCACAACTCCAGAGGTACTTATCATTTTCTAAGTACTACTTTTAATGATCAGTGAATAGGAACAAATGGCCCAATACAGTGGCCTCCCAGATCACCAGATCTAAACCCACTTGATTACTTCTTGTGGGGTTACTTAAAGAACCAAATTTACAAGCGAAGGTACGATAACCTTGACGCGTTAAAGACTGCAGTTAGGGAAAAGATAACTCAGATAGATGGTAGGACCATACTTAAGACAGTTCGAGCAGTTGAAAAACGTGCCCAAAAATGTATTGAAGAACAAGGTGGTGTTTTCGAGCATCTTCTTTAAAAAAAATTGTTATTGTATTTTGTAAGATTATAAGTTGATGTTGAAAATAAAGTTTGTCGATACAATTTAATTGTTTCAGATTGGAGGCCATAACTTCAACAATTTGTAACCTAGGAGAAAAGTTATTGTAAGCTTTTTTGTTTAAAATTTGATGCTTTAACAGAAAAAAATATAATATACAGGGGTTTCCATTTAAAAAAATGTTATTTTACTGAAAAAAATCAAAATAACGACTCTCAATTGTTTTTTTTTTATTTCTCATTTTTACCAACGTTAAAAATGCTACTAGTTTGCTAATTCAAACAACTTTGTATTTTCACTAATAACAAAGTTACTAATGGTGGACACTTAATTTGGATAACCCTGTATACAGATTGATGGATAAGCTCTTCCAGTGCCGGACAAGGCGAATAGTTCAGGTCTTATATTTGATGAATTTTGGTGTCTCAAGGAACATATTTTGAAAGCAGGTTATGTTGTCCATAAACGCCTGTATACTAATAAATATATATTGGATTTTAAAACTAGGAAAAAACTTTATGAACGCTGATCTTTCCTATACTCTAATGTAAGACAGTTGTTGTAGATTTGTTTTCAGTTTAAACAAATATGGTCATATTTCATGTTATATTAGTGAGCTGAGTTGGTCATGTACGGACGATGCTTCCAAATATCAAATGCTCACTCTTATTCATAAAATACTACACAATCCCCTTCTTATGTTTATAAAAAGTTCATAGCTCGCCGCAGAAGGACGTGTATTTCAACTTCAGATTTCAAAATCGCCAGTAGTATATTTTTCCGTCGGTCGTCTATTATTTGCAACTCAATATACAAATACACAATGACGCAAGTGAACACTTGAAAATTCCGCCTGTAAATAGTATGGAAAGACAAGCCAAACAGCTTCTTCTACATCGTTCGGGTCACGTTGGCGGATTGGTTTTGTTTATCCAATTATCTGATTGTATTTTGCTTTTCATCGAGTCATTGTTGTCTAATTTCATAGTATCTTCTTTGGCCTCGATGTAATATATTTATAGAATTTTTGGAAGTGCATTTTTTATATTTTTCACTTGGCTTGTAAGCTGAAGTATGCTATATTCTCCGCCTATAAGGATTAAGATGTGATGTACATTTGTATTCCAATAAAGACCTTTGATTATTATTATTATTCGGTGCATGCCACCAGTGCATTCCTCGTAATAGCAAACCGATCCCAAGCTGCCGAGCTGTCATTTGAAGATGAAAGTATAACTAGCGGCCTCGTGTGACGGCCAACTTTATTCAGTTATGAATATTTAAAGACCCATTTATAGCTGGAGTCCACTCTGAAACCGTCTTGTTCCACGCAAACCGTCGATCGTAAAAATTGGGTTGGGTCCAGCAGTTTTATGTGTTGTGTCCTTATAATGTCCCCTATCTACCTACCCACATAAAAGCGCGCACACACATCTTTTACTGTCGAATAACAGAAATTGTAATCGAACGCAAGAGCGCTGTCCAAATGACCATCGCACCGGTTCTAGGGACCAATAAAATAAAAACTCGGCCCGCATACATCTTTATTTTGCGGCGAAATTGAAATATTGGGGGTGAACAGCACGATTCTTTACCATACGGCATATTTTGGAATGCATGCCAGGTGCGGATTGAGATGTGATATTATATAGACAGTTTTCCAACACGTGCAACATCTCCATTCTGAGAGCCTTATCTTCCTTAACACTATGTGGATTTACTTATTTATACTAACTGACGTATAAATCCGAACACCCAGTTTAAATGGTTTTATTTCAATAAAAGTTGGTGAATGTATATTTATCTTACTGTAAATAACAAGTGAACAAATTTTCAGCCATATCAGTTGGACATTCCGGTTTTTATACTGCTTTTTTTTTAATTCACTAACGCTCTAAAAATGAATATTTCAGCCGCAGTAAAGAATCAACGTTGACGGATTTTGGTTCTTGACATCCTTTACGACCGGTTACGATGCCTAGAGTACGGAGACCTGTACGATTTCGTCAACTTAGTAAGTTTGATAGGGGCCGTATAGTGGGACTTCGGGAAGCTGGACTTTCTTTTCGGGCAATTGCAGTTAGAGTGCAAAGAAGTGTAGACACTGTGGTTAGGTGTTGTCAGGCATGGCTTCGAGAAGGCCGTACGCAAAGAGCAAGGGGCACTGGACGCCGCCGTAGAACAACAGACCGTGAAGATCGCCGCCTAAGATTATTGGCCTTAAGGGACCGTTTCTCCACTACCAGGTCCATTGCAAATGAATGGTTTGCAGAACACGGAAGACCTATTGGCATGCGAAGTGTTTACCGACGAATGAGAAGTTTTGGTTTGTTTTCATACCGGCCACACTGGGTCCTCCCTTTAACTCGAGAACACCGACGTAATCGCCTTGCGTGGTTCAGACAACGGTCACTCTGGGATCAGGAATGGAACAGTATTGTCTTTAGTGACGAGTCTCGATTTTGTTTAGGCATGCACGATGGTCGTGCCAGGGTTAGAAGGCGACATGGTGAAAGGAGGAATCCACAGTTTTTTGTTGAAAGACATGTTCATCACACTGTTGGAGTTATGGTTTGGGGTGCTATAGCTTATGGTTCCAGGTCACCTTTAATCTTCGTCAGAGGTAACATGAACGCGCAGCGTTATAACCACGAAGTTCTAGAACCGCATCTTTTACCCTATCTTGACACCCTGGCATATCCAACTTTCCAACAAGATAATGCCCGACCACATGTTGCAAGAGTCACAATAGACTTCTTTCAACATAATGATGTCACATTGTTACCATGTCCACCAAGATCTCCCGACTTATCCCCAATTGAGCACTTGTGGGATATGATGGGTAGGAGATTGCTCAATTTGCAACGTCCTCCTCAGACTCTAGAAGCACTTCGAGAGGAGTTGGTGGTTGCCTGGAATGAGATACCACAGGAGGACATTGACCACCTGATCAGAAGCATGCCTAGGCGCGTTGGAGAATGCGTAGCACATCAGGGTGCATCCACACATTATTAAAGGTCAAAGGGCTTTAAAGCAGTGCAATCATTTTGAAATTTTTATCATTTACTTATTATGCTTCATTGAGTACTTATACAAAATTTTATTAAAATAAAACCATTTAAACTGGGAGTTCGGATTTATATGTCACTTAGTATATTATGAAATCGTTCATTTACGATATTGAACTAGTGTTTGTTAATGAATACAAAAACTACTCCTCAAATGTCATGCGGTATGTTACCACCATTATTGCACAACCGAGAATGAGCTCTTTGCAAAAACCTAGAGGGTACTTACGATAAATCAATTTATGATAAAAATGAGGGTTCTTATTATTTTTGAACAATTGTAATTATAATAACATTGTTAGCTTCCAATGATTGAGTTGCTAAAACGTCCCATTGTTTGATGGAATTCAGCAATATAACTTTTGCTGTGCTTGATACAAAATCCCATATCGCAAATCACAAAATTCTAAACCATAAGCAGCGACTAATTATCGTAAAATTAGAAACGATTATAATGCGTGTTTTTACTGTGTAATTGTCCGAAATTCTGACTGCTGTTGACATTTATCGACAAAGATTATGAATCCTTTCATTATCGACAAGATAATATGGATTCCTCGTATTGTTCAGTCACCCAGTTAACTTTGTGTTTAGAGATGAGACTGAAGGACGATGACGAGATTTTTGTTTTTTTTTTCACAGAGAATGACTCGGAGGCAAATTGTTTTACCAGTGTTCATGAATGCAGTTCTTTGAAAGGTAAGAGATCCCTGCCAACATTCTTTCAGTTATTCTACCCCCTCATTTCAAGGATTAGCTACCAGGAGCCAAACAGTCAATTATGAATCGAGTAATTGGTGCACTGTTTGAATACGATTCTTTGTAACAAAATACAGTTCGTATAATTCTTAGTATTTTACTTATAATAATAATAATAACTTTTATTCATGTCAACCTCGCGGATACAAAACGTCAAAATACAGGTTAGGCAGCAGCGGTGGCCGCAGTAGTAGACTCTTCGGTCTCCTGATCAGTCGCAGTGCGCTGTGCGGGTCCGAGTCCCGTCCCAGGAGAAATTTTTCTCTTGGCTATGGATGTTGTGATTGTCCGTAGGTGGTAGACGGTCTTTGACTGTCGAACGTGGAGGTACCACCCGGCGGATCTCGTAGGCGGAGTCAGAATGTGTGCATGTTGCATGCACACGTATTCCCTCGCCAGAGTCCGTGTGGCGTTCCCCTTTCCCCTATATCCCCCTATAGCCCCACGGTACCCAATGGGTGTTTAGGCCTTAGTCCTTCGTAGTAGCTGGTTTATAAAAAAAGCAATTATCACAATACAAGATTGAGCACAACGGTATTCAAAATTACGATAAAATCGATACAAAATCATTAACCGAATAATAATACTTCTCTACCAAAATGCTTGCACACGTTAGTAACAACCAAGGTTTTGTTATTATTAAGTAGCTGTTTGTATATGGTAGCACACATATACTCAGGAGTTTTACGATAAGTGCTTAGTTTATAATTTACGATAGATATGTCCTTATTGTTGCGAAAGTTATATTTTTGCTGATCCTCAACGTATGAAAACTTATTACAATTATTTTTAGCGAATTAACGAGCCTCAAGTACAAAAATACTGGGAAATGTCAATAGATGACCTGACTGAAATGTAGTTCTACAAGTCTGTATGGAAATATTAACCTTATAATCCTTTGTTGCAATATGAATATGCGTTCAGCACATACAGAGCAACCCCAGCTGAGGATAAGGTATTTCAAGAGAGGATATACGGTTGCAAAATAAATATTCAGTAAAGGCTTAGTACTAATTTTTGTATCCCAAGCAACGCAACGCAAAATAAGCAGAATGGAGTTTTTTCGAGGCTTAATCTAGATGATCACTCCAGCCGAGTCTTTCATCGACTATTACCCCTGAAAACTTGTTGTTTATTCAACCCTGTCAAGAACTGAATTATTTAACGTAACATGTTACGACCTTGTTTTTTTTGTAAGTTATAGTTGCAAAGATTTTACGAATTAGAAGGTTCTCTACTACGTACTCGTTTGCTAGTTCATAAGATACGATATAGCTAGATAAGAATATATGGATCTCATACTCTTGCTAAAAATTATTTCGCATAGGGGTATATACATTGTACATAGCATTTTCATTCCTGTTTTCACCTGTCGATCCGCTCCCTTCTGGTGGACCTGCTCTAACGAGTCTGAGAAACAAAACTCAATAAGTAGAAGATACCTAACTCACACTATTGAAGTCAAATTACTTGTTCCCTTTCATAAATTAGTGCCACTGAAGCCATCCTAGTCATTGTTTACAATTTTATAACCTTAATAGCCATGAAGTTTGTGGACGAGTGTCAAGTCGGCTGTCACTGTCGAAGGTGAAAATGATAGAATGTCAACTGGCGTGGAAATGTCAGGCGCGAGACGCGCGCAACAGGGAAGAGAAAAAAGATCGCCATTACACATTTTCCGAGCGACTGTTACGCAACGGCGGATACGGTACCAGGAAAGATCCGAAAAGGAGAAATCCTCACGATTCCAAGTGCTTTAGGCGCACCACTAATGTGGGATTTTTAGGATTGGGAGATTTTCCTCTACACAAAAGGCCACCCTACACCCTAGGTAGGTAGCTTACCTTCTTGTGTTCTCGTTCTTTGATGCCTTTAGCTGATGCTTGAAGCACTCATGTAGTGCCTGATTAATTGCTTTAAGGTGCATGTATCTTATGCTTGACTCTTGTCCACAGGCCTTTTTCGTTCATTTTATTCTGTATCTTCTTCACTTCGTCTTTCGCTTCCTGCTGCATACCTACATTTGACCATCTGAGGGCTAGTGGACCTCACCAGGTGAGCTCCAACGGGTGATTCCATGGAATTGCAGCTCAGATTAGGCTGTAAGGTTTATTTTTGTAACACTTCAGGTTCCTGGAACATTTTGGAATATAGAGCACCCGATTTGTTGTTGTAACATCCATTAGGTTAAGATCACTGGTGTATGTTTCACCATCTAGTGCGTATACGTACCATAGGCATATCTACCCCCCCCTTCTGTGGTAACACATCACCTTGCCTAGCAGGTTGTGTAAAATGAGACATAGCATATCCGAATGTAAGTGTGGTCCTAGGTAGTAACCCATAAAGTAGACGACCTCTCTTTGGTGAGATCCTTGTACATCGCATACGGCTTGTCTTGTCAGGCAATATATAACGTTTCAATCTGAACTTGATTTCTTTCATTGTTGACAATTTCGACAGACAATTCGACAGGTTGACAATTTGTCCCATGGAACCACGAAACTTCATACAGAACTGGACTCCCTGATACAGCAATTGTAGAGTAGTAGTTGTACTGTTTACAGTACATCCTAGGCATTCCTAGTTGGCGGCTGATCAACGATCACATCGTCGTCTCTACCACCCACACCCGTAGCATTTGGCGCCAAGCGTATCACTGGCGGCCAAAAAAGTAACAAACAGAAGTTGGCAATCTACATATATTTGGATTTACTTTCATTAACTAACTGAAACTGGTCTAATACTGAGTTGGCCTTCGACACAACTTCTTCCGTTGTGTCAGCCACTATACTGATGGTCGTGCCATTTGCAAACAACACAAGGAGATTGTCATTAACGTTGATATATTCATCAAAGTCGTTGATGATTTGACTGAGCAAAGTTCTGACAGTGGTGGGTAAGCCCAATCCATGCCTTTTTCGACTTCAGCCGACTTCAAATGCTAGATACACACGCTTATGCACTGTATCGTCCATAGTTTCCTATTTGGAGGAAGGGTCAGCTCATGAGTCCACAGTTTAAGTACGGTTCTAACTACAACAGTTTAGGTTCGAGCTTGAGCCGATTAATGTTGAAGGAATTCGTAGTTTGACTACACATAGTGAAGCACATTATTGAAATTCAAATATGGAGATTCCTGTCAACGGACTCCAGTAAATAAGCTTAATATTACATTGTAGCCTAATCTGCTACCCCCTTAACTTGCAGCTGAATTTGAACTACGGAAACGACCATACTTATACCCGCAATCTGACGCAAATGCCAAATGTTTTCCTTTCAGCAGAAAATGTCCCATTTCTTGCCTGATCCGGATCGGAATTCAGAATGTATCGACAGACCTTGAAGTCGGAAATATGAAGTACGGTTCTGGATTGCTTTCACCCGTTGTGCTGAAAAATACCCATTGATGTGTTTCTAGTGATCGGCCGTGGGGAGATTCGCTCCCCGTGGAGGAGGACGCGGAATAAAACATCGTCGCGTCCCATAAATATCGGAAATTTCGTAAATATGCAAATGACAGTCGTAAAAACGGCGCCGAAATGTGTTTCCGCATATTCGTCTTTGCGCCATCGTGCCATCGCGCGCCGCTTGAGACAACTGTCGAAAATACAAGCACGGGCACTGTTGTAACCTTTGGGGGTTGGGGGGTGTATAGAAAGCGAGTTATTTTGTACTTTTCATGGGGTATAAATGACCCTGTAAGTAATAAATCAATTCAAACATTCGAGTGTCATCTACAACGTTTCCTGAAAGCTCGATGTATTACTTCGTATCCCTGCAACAAAAGCTATGAACAAAATAAATATAGACAGAGCCAGTTTTGCATGAAAAATATAGATTCTGTTTATTCACAGAAATTATTTGTAGTTGAGCAGGTTCAGGGGGAGATGTACATTGGGTTTAGGAAAAAAGTGCCACGTAGTATGGAGTGAAATTTATGTTTATAGAAAGGATGTTACGGAAGTAAGTGATGACATCGGAACTGATATCGGAATCGGAGGTGAGGGCTGAATAGTGACGTTCAAAGAAAGCAGGTTTAATTAAATAACATTGTAATAGTAATAGTAAGTAGTAACAGTAAATTATATAAGATGCACGTAGTAGTTCATTAAATGAAATCAGTGACTCCAAAACAAGCAAGTTGTGCTTAATGAGTACAAGCTTCGGTGATTTAACTCCTTCCAGTCAATTTCTTAACTGGCTATAAATTAGGTCAAAAGCACTAAACATTTGCTACTGAGCTTGGTGGACACGACAAACATTGGCGGGCGATCAAGGTCAGGGGTTTGAATTTAGTATCAACTTTCGACCACAATAAGGGATCGTCAATGATGGCAATACGTTTTTTATTTCATTGTAATCATTAAGTAAATCCTTATTACTAGTAGCATCATCATCGTCGTCATCGTCGTCGTCATCGTCATCGTCATCGTCTTCGTCATCGTCATCGTCGTCATCGTCATCATCATCGTCATCGTCATGGTCATCGTCATCGTCATCGTCATCGTCATCGTCATCGTCATCGTCATCGTCATCGTCAACGTCATCGTCGACATCATCATCTTCATCATCGTCATCATCATCATCACTCAATAATATATTTGATAAAACTGTTTGGATAACTTCCGATTTAAAAGTTTCAGAACCGAAATCGAAATCGGAAGTTTGAAAACAATCAAGTTTAAAACAATCGGAAGTTTGGACCTTCCGGAATCGAAACTGAACCTCCGTAACATTCCTAGTATATAGTACGAGTATTTCAACCCTGGAGGCTGATAATGTCCATGGTCAAGCTATGACAGCTCTAGCAATGAACAGTAGCCAGCATTGCCTGTAACTACATCTTGGTCAATTGTGAAGAGGGGTTTATCCATATAACGGCATCGTCCTGTGCTTGACAATTCAGTAGAAAAAGAATTTGACGAAAGTATATGGCATACAAGTCTGACTTGTAACCAGAATTAGTTACTAAGATAATGTGTACGTACCACAGTTTGCTTTGCTAAGTGGCTTGGTATAGCGACCACAAGAGCTAAACTGCATATAAGGCACCATTTATATGTCATCTACTTTTATTATCACTACGTCTCCATCAGAAATTACTACCTTGTTTCCATTCGTTATTTTATTTGTACGGTATCGGTAATTCTTGATGATTTGCATCCATAGTATATTTTTCTTGGCACTTTACAGTTTATGTTTTAAATTAACGTCTAATGCCATGGAATTTTAATTAGTAGCTAAAAAGGACTTTTTTTCCAAATAAAATGTAGCAAGTTATGAGAATTATGCAGTTTCTATATTTTTTAACATTATCTACTGGTGTTGAAACAAATGTGGTTCGTTATTTCTGAATTAAAGTGATATTATCTTTGAGATGTTTGAGATTGGCATCACAGTATGAAT